AACATCTTGCAGTCTTGTTCCTTAAGTATCTATAAATACTGATCTCTGAAACATCTTACTCTTGTCCTGCTTTGTTGCTAACTCTACAGTAAATCTTTAATGCTTTTGATAAGTTGCTTTATTTGTCCTTGTAGTACCAAGTCTGTCAGCTTTATGGTTTGGCACAGAATTGCTGTCCATACCTGTATTCTGTAGATCAGGTTGTCCTTCTTGGCACTAAGGCTCAGAAGTAAATGTCTGACAAAGTTCTGTTCCAGATGGTGAATATGACTGCTTCGTGTACCCTACTACAATTGAGCATAATATATAAGAGTATAAATTGTATCTGGAAAATCTTTAAAAATATTTTTATAAGCATTGTTTAAGTTATGACATAAAAAATGACTTTTAAAATTGGACAGATGTTGATTTCAAAATTGGAGAAGAACAAAGCCATGAAGTCAGAAGACAAAGCAGAAATTATGAAAACACTGGAAACACTGACAAATAGCATTACCAAGCTAAAGGATGAATTAAAAGGTGTGTCATCTGGAGGACCTCCTCTGAAAAGCATGAAAACTAAGGCTCAGGTACTCTGTTTTTTATTACAGAATTACATGCTTATGTTAATTAATTAGAAAAATAATATTTGAAAAAAAAATCTGTCTAGATTGAATCTCATAATTTAAATACAGCATTACATAAGATGATTCTGTATGTTTCCATCACTTAAAGAAGCCATAGTACTTGTTTGGCTCCTGTTTGGGCTTTTTTTAAACAGCGACATGAAGAGAAATACCATATTCCTTCAGCTATTAAAATGCACTTTTTAAAACCAGGTATTTTTTTCAATAATTTCCTGAGTCTTAAATTCCAGTTAATAAAAAAAAAAAAAGTTAAAAGGTTTCTTTATGCATCAAAGATACGTTATCCTTGTTAATCTTTTTATTTTGTTAGTTTGTCATAAAATTCAGGTGTATCTTAAAATCAAGAGTGTCTTTATACTCAAAGGAATGCAGCATATCTTAAGCAAAAAGTTGCATTGAAGTTCAGGGTCAGATTTAGGTTTGTTTCATGTTCTAAATTACTCTCACCTAGGTTGCAACCTTGTGTCCTTTTCATTCTTGATTATGTAACAGTACTGTCAAATAAAGAGTTTGGCTTGTGAGGAATAATGTAGTACATAGATATTTTACAAATATCTAACTGAACCTTCCCACTTTGTATACTGCTTAATTCTTGCATAGTATTCTCAATTTCTTTTAACTACTTATAGTAGGTTTTGACTTGAGGTTTCTTTTTCTCCATTTGCTTTTCTTTTTTCTGCTACAGAAGACTGATTTCTTTGGTCTTTCCCACAATGTTAAAATCAGCCTCCAACTCTGCTTTCTGACCTAGTTATATTGCCTTTTAATGACAGATATTTTTTGCTATCTGTGGGGAGGGTATGTTATCGACTACCATTATAAAATGATTTTAAAAGGCCTGGTAAGAGAATAGTATTACAGAATTCTATCAATCCTTTTATAAATGAATAACTCCAATTGTTTTCTCTTCTGCTCTAGCAACCAGACAAGGAGATACTTGCACAAAAAAGTGAAGGTTTTACAAACTATTGATGGTATTCTTAAAAGTGTCTGGTACTTCTCTAGAGGACCACAATCAATCTTGGTCTCCTCCAGCCATTCTGATCTGCAGCCCTTAAAATGTTTCCTTTTCCCTTTTAATATGTTTGTTTTAGGAAGCTCCTCTTTTCAGGAATGGCCTTGAATCCAGTATGTGGTGAAGTCTTAAAGGACCTTCAACCATATATGTGAGCAAAAAACATGGAGCAATCTGCTTAAGAGGCAGATCAAATTTAAAAAATAGTAACTATAAAATTATGATGAAGTACAGATTTGATGCATAAATATTGAGGTGACCTTGCTCATGGCTTCATTACCTCATCCATTTCTCTGATAACATTTTATGGCTTGTATTTTTACTTCAGGCATCATATTAAAAAAATTGGGCCTGGAATTTGGGGTTATTTTTTCAGTATGGGCATCCTGAGACAGTGGAACCGTGAAATTGCTGTATTTTGATTAGAAACAATATAAGGGTGTAAATATATATTAAAATTTGGAAAAACAGGTTTCTCATACTTTCTGCGGCTAGCGACCTCTTTCAGATTGAGATGTCCTAACTTCTTCCCGAAGAGGTCTAACCTTATCTTGAGGACAAATTGAACTGTAACTATGCCAGAAATAACAGATGTGAAAGAATGAACCCCGTTATAAATGAGGCAATAACTTGCAAATTCATTCTTAAGTATAATTAATACAAATTTAAGTAGAATTAATAGAAAAGTTTTTTTTATAAGGTTCAACTGGGGAAATATTTCAACATGAACACAGTTTTAATCAGTGAGTGCTAGCAATACCTTGTTTTGTGTTGCATCTCAATTTATAGTGAGAAAACTTGCAGAGATAAAAGTGGGATGAGAACTTGAACTTATTTTCAATTAAAGTTTGCAGAGTTGTGTGTTAGAAAATGGCAGATACGTAAATTTGTGACTAGAGAATTGTCAATTTGTCCTAGCAGTGCTCCAGGAGGTTCTGGAGAAGAAACTAGTCCCAAGTAGGTATAAAATAAGAGTGGGTGCTAAACTGTGAATTGTGAGTAGTCAAATACTGTGATTCGTTGTTCATTTTTCTTGAAGTCTGAAATGAGAGGAAGCAGTTCAGGACTATTAATTTCCATGTTTTTGATGAATGTTTTTACTTTGCCTTAAATGGACAGAAAATTCATGTTCCACCCCTGAAGCTTGTTTAGGTGGCCAAAGATGTCTGACATGCAAGGTAAATTGCCCTGGAAGAGAATTATTGAAGCTATCAACAAGAGGACACTGTACACCATTAAGGAAAATCTTTGCTTTGCTCTTAATTAAAAACAAAAAAAAACAAACAAAAAGCACCCTCATGAGAGCCGCGTTACTTCAAGTGATAGATGAAGGGAAAGGAATCAGTTATCTGAACAAAGTAAAAAACAAAACAAAAAACACTTTGCATTACTTGGGTAACTTCCTTTTGGAGTTTACGTTAACACCATTGCAAAAGGACCTTGTTGCTGGGACTGTAAGCATATGTCACCTTTGTCCTGCAATAAAATTTTCTGTGGTGAGGCAGAATACAAACATGCAGATATCTTTACCTCTTGTTGCACTACAGATGCCCAAAGAGGGCTGTGCCAGCAGTTCCTGGGAACAGGTTTGCCACTCTGTTGCAGCAAATGTCTGTACCTTTCTGGCACAGTATGCCAGTTTGCAAGCATGCATTCAGGTTGGAGTGTCAGGTATCTGGGGCCAGTCTGTAATATTAATCCTGTGGGGCAGTGGCCCTGAGCAGTGTCTGCACCTGCCAGTCAGGCAGATCAGCTATGCTGGGAGTACATCCTGGCACAACCGATCCTGGCAAAAAAACCAATGTCTTAGTAGCATTTTCTTAATGCTTGAAGTTGGGTAGCAAATGGAGCCTTGAAAACTTAAGGTAGTAGATAGATGCAGTGCATTAGATTAATGTGACTGTGCCACACAGATTGCAAAATGTTGCTCCCACTGAATGTGGAAACCTTTGACTGCCACCAAACTTGCCTTAATTAGTCCTTTTCAGCTTTTGGATCCTGGTCCAACTAAAGGGTGGCAGGGGGAAGGGCAGGAGGAAGGGAAAGTAAGAGCATCAAAAAATAATCTTTCCCAACTCCTGAACCTATTAAACCTCAGACTCCTATTGTGTGCTTTGTGAATTTGAACTGTGAGTCATGTTTCTTGAGTTTTGAAACAGTTGACTTTGGACATCCTGGGCCATGTAATGAATGCGTGGCAAAACAATATGTGAAAAACTATACAAGAAGTAGTTTATTTCCTGTGACTTTTTTTTGAAACAGTCTTGCACAGGGAAAGATTAAGATTTTGTAGTACTGTTTGCCTTATACAAGTCATGTAATTTGAGAGATAGCAAGAAAAGATGTCTTTAGGATGTTCGTGTTGACATTATCAGTTTGAGTAATCCAGCCTTTTCTTTTTCTTTTTCAAAGCCTCAAGTTTTCTCCTGAAAAATCTTCCTCCTTTATCATTCAGTGATGGATATTTGGTTTCTAACTCTCACACTGTCACCATACCTGTGAGGTCTTCATCTCTTACAGTCAGCTCTTGAGCACATGACACATTGGTTTAAAATCAGCATATGTAAATATAAAGTAATTTGCGCATGTTCTTTTTATTTGATGTGTCATTGGAACAAATGGTTGCTGTCTTTTCCAGATTCTCAAATTGAAACAAAATTCCATCAAATACATGGTCATACGTGAAGGTCTGCTGTGCCTCAGACCTTATGATTACGTCTGACACATCTGAATTTCATTGAGCAACACATTTTACCATGATCTGTATGCATGGGTCAAAATAACAGAAAATTAGGGTTGGAAGGGGCTCCAACCCCCTGCTTAAAGTAGGACCATCCCCAACTATTTCATCTTAGCCAAGGCTTTGTCCAACTTGGTCTTAAAAGCCTGCATTTGTTTTTGTATATTGTGGTTTTTAATGCATCATGCCCGGAGAAGTGAATTGGTGCATGTGCAAAAGGGTTCAGATGTTTTTGTAGCAGAGGTCTTGGTAGTGTACTGCACACATTTGTGACCTGCCTTTATCTGCATTGAAGTACTGGTTGGACTTCTCACATTACTGAACTATAGTGGCTGTAAAGTTGTTTGCCACTGGAGTGGATGCTGTCTGTTCTGTTTATCATTTGTATACTGAATTGTCTTGTAGAAGTCATGTTTCTGAGACTTCTCTACCAAAACTACATAGCAGCTGCAGATCACATTTTGGTTTCCTACTTTGTTTCAGCTGTTCAGTCAGTACTAGAAACCATGACAACATGGATCTTGAAAAAGCTCACTGCAAAATGAATTTCACTTTGCTCTCAAAACCTGCTATCATGTTGTGTTTTCTGAAGGATGATACCCAATGGAATAGAAATAATGCCTATTAAGTTAGAGCTAACTTATACAGACCTGAAAAGACATGTCTCTATCTAAGCCGTGTTACCCTTTCCTGGTTTCTGAATCCCTGTCTTTCTATGCTTAGCTTTGTCTCCTAAGATTCTACTTTTTAAGACACGTGTACAGAAAAGGAGACCCTCGCTGTAACTTTAACAGCCACCTAGCTCCCTGGAGACCATATCATGTTAGTCCTAGCATGCTGCATACTTTTAAGACAGCCTCTCATGACTACCCTTTAGTAGTGGTATTGTGATGGACCATCAGGACTGTGGTCACTCAGCAGATTATTTCCCTGTTTGAGAGTAAGACATATATGAACTAATAACCTTTCTCGACTATTTCTTAGATGCAGAAAGAATTGCTGGATACTGAGCTGGATTTGTACAAGAAGATGCAGGCTGGGGAAGAAGTCACTGAACTAAGGCGAAAGTACACAGAACTGCAGCTTGAAGTATGTTTCTTTCCTTTTTTTTGTTATTTGCCATTTTTAACAGTGTTCATGTATATTTTAATTAACTTGCATGTTGCTTTACAGTATAAATTGTTGTATAATGAAGTTTCAAAGATGAAGCCTCATTTGTGTAAGTTGTATGCAGCCATTTTCTCTTAAACTTTAGTGGAGATACTTCACTTTTCTGTTCTTATATTGCACATATTTTTAAAAGCGGGCATTATTTGGTGTGTTATAAAGTTACAGTAAGTAACAGTTTTTAAAAGAGCTGATGTATTTTTTAAATTTTGTCTGTAGGTGGTGCTGTGGATGCTTATAAAGAGCTGAATGCTGGACTACTTTGATAATTCTTATTAAAAAGAACATCTCTCTTAAATAATTGTCAGCATGAAGAAACATAATCTTGATCAAATTAAAATGCTTGAGAGAAACAGTGTCATCCTGTAACTGTTTTTTAATGAGATATAGTCTAACTCCTGAGTTTTTTTTTTAACATTTATATAAATCAAACTGGATCAGGAAATGTTCCAAGTACAAATTACATGCCTATTTCTTTTTAAAGACACTTGGAGAATAAACTGTTTTTTTCAAAAATTGTATAATGCAGCTTTTCTTAATCATCTTTATGATGTATGAGAGTGATGTATATTAAAATGCATAGCATATACTTACAATATAACCCTTTCTTTACTGTAGATTGGCAATGCTTTTTTGCTTAATTCTCTGCTAACTCAATGAAGTTTGACCATGCCTGTTAACTTTCCATATTGCCACTAACGTGAATTACAGGTGGCACTAATTCTTTTGATGACATCTGGAATAGGGGCACTGAAATAAAGACACTTTTAAGTGATCAGCAGTGACTATGATAATGTTCTTGTTTGTATATGGTTTCAATTGGCTTGCTTGGCTGTCTTTTAGAAGAGGCCTGTAGCTTTATACTACACTAGATATTTTACAATGCTTTAATGAAGTTATGAATTCTGTAAAGTGACTAGAAACAGTTTCATACATAGAAATATTTTCAGAAATCGAGACCTTTACTGCTACAGCATAAAGTTTGTCCCTCTAACTCTGAGTTTCCTCTAAAATATTTCAATTCCATCCCAAAGTTGAAACTGTTTCATTCAAGGAAATTAACTCATTTCTGAAAGAGACGCTTGGAAAAAATGTAGATAGAAGATTTAATCGTTTTTAACACTAAGCCCAATTTGAGACATTTCTTAAAGCAGAATTAAGTGTACACTGTGATTATAACATAATAACATTTAAATTCTGTCTTAATGTCTAATGTGTGCATCAGAGTACTGATATTTTTACATACAAACTTCTTAGGCTGCCAAACGAGGGATCCTTTCTTCAAGTCGTGGCAGAGGAATACATGCAAGAGGTCGGGGTACATCACGTAGCAGAGGGAGAGGAATACGAGGCCGGGGACGAGGAAGAGGAGTTCCTGTTCATGCAGTAGTGGATCACCGACCAAGGGCACTGGAGATCTCTGCATTCACAGAAAGTGATAGGGAAGATCTCCTTCCTCATTTTGCGGTATGTAATTACTTCAGTTTTTCCTTTCTTTGGATGACGATGTGTTGTGGTGTAGAGCACTGGAAAAATGTTCAAAGAATGGTTCTAACTAACTGTTAGCACCACTGTCTCCCATATTGTACTTTAATGATCCCTTAGCACTATTAACCCTTAAATGGAACGTGAAATATGAACATGAACAACTCAGTGTCCTAAAATCAAACTTCATTAATACAACAAATGTTAGCTTAGCAGTTTCTATAAACAGAGGGAGAAGAACACTTAGTACAACTATCTCACCCAATCCCAGATGTTACTTTGCTCAAAAGAAAAGACAGCTGCTCAGTTCCTGAAATCAAAGGGTGCATCATGGGCTAAAACAGTCCAAACAGGTGTTGAAGGCTGGATTTATGACAGCAACACACACAACTTTCTTGCTGCCCCCTTTTAATGCTTTTCTACAACTTCATTCCTTTGATGACTCCTCGTGTTCCCATGTTTTATCCTGTCAGCATATTCCTTTGTTCAGCAGACCCATCATGAGCACACCTCTTAATTTGGCCTTTTTCTGGTATCTTACTTTGGGCATTGTCCATTGGTCTCCCTTATCTTTCATTAACATATCCAATCATTTCATCCCTCTGATTCAGCCAGTTAGTGCCAAGTTCATTTAATTTGATCTGGTAACAAATATTACTATGTTGTGTTAGAAAAACTTCTCACAGTAATAGAAAAGGAAAGAAACCTCATGTGAGCAAACTGAAGGCCATAAGCTGCTTGCGGGAGGCAAGACCTGTTGATATTGTAGATACCAGCAAAATGAAAAGTTCAGATAATAATGAGGCTATACAGAACTTAAGCAACGATTAAATAAAGCTGAATCTAAAAGAAAACTTTAAACAATACTGTAATTTACCACTCTGTAAACAGGTACAACTTTAAAGCATAAAATATGACAAGCTACCCTAACACTAACCTCTGTGTCTGAAAGCTTGTCTAACATCTCTCCCACATGAATGGTTGATCCGATAGAACATATTACCAAATAGACCTTGCTTGTTGCAGTTAAACCCAATTTTTAATTAAAATATTCTAAAATAAATCATTGGCTTCTGACTCTCCCTGGACAGATTAAAAAAAAAAAAAAGTAATTCCTTTAAAGGGGGTTGGGAGATGCTGCTGAGGAAAAGACTTCAGGTGTTATAATTAGGCATCTACTTAAAACCCACTGGCCGCTGATTATTTTCAGGAGGCCATTGTGCTGGCAGCCACCTCTTTTGCCAGGCAGTTTTTGTACAGGCAGCTCCCATTTTTTTCACTCCCCTTTATGCAACTTGTTGGCTGAGAGCCTGGGAGTGTCCCCACCCCTCATCTTTTTTTTTTATTTTGGTAGCCACAAACAGCTGCTGAAAAAAAAATCCTGCTGGGGTGGAGGGCTAACTTGAAGTAGCAGAGAGAATGGGAGTGGGGATGACTGTGGGGACAGGTGATTGGCATAAAATGAGGACCGGTCTCACGATTTTCTCTGCTCCCCCGTCCCCTCCCTCCCCAGCTCCTGCTGCTTCAGTTTAACCCTCCTGGGTCTCTGTTCCCATCTCCCCTCTCCCACCAGGCATAGCCACATTGCCCCAAGGTGGCTCAGCATTGCAGCCCTGCCTGACCAGCCCATTCTCCCCCAGCCTGGACCCTAAATAAAAGCACATTCACACCTCACCTGCTGCAGCCTTCCTCTTCAGGTGCCCTTCTGATCTAAGTGCCAGTCAATACTGTTTTTTCTGGTTAGATCCAGCATGACATTACAAGCTGAACAGAACAGTTTGCCACCATCTGCATGAAGAGTACCTTCAGGGTACTGCTTCACACAGTTTGTGCACTTTGCTTTGTGGACTGTCTTCTCACTCAACCTGATCTTAAGTGCAGCAGCCAGCCTCACTGTGCTGTGTACTCTTTAAATCCTCCCAGTCTTCTGTGCTGCCCAGTGATTGGGTCAGTCAGCATGCTGATTGGCTTAATCACTGAACCTTGCTGGGAGACCCTGTACTTTATACAGGGTCCCTGTGCTGCTGCTTGTGCCAATGAGCTGTTTCCCCCTCCCCACCCCTAGTGATTTTTGTCAGTTTCTGGCAGGAAGAGCATTTTCCTGCTCTTTAGGGAAAGTGCGGATTTCCAGCTTTTCCTGCAAAATGCAAAAACTCAATTTAAGTAGATCCCTAGTTATGATATAACTGTTACAACTGTGTGCTTCTATAGATGTAAGTTAGTTAAATCACTGTAACTTTGACCCTCAAGAGGTTGGGGAGGGAGTGCAGCTCCCTGCTGCTGTGTGCACCCCAGGGGAGGCATTGGGGGCATGTGCGCGGGCCCGGCCCATTCCCTCCCTCACTGTGGGACCTGGATCTGCACCGTCTATGCCCCCTCCCTCTCCTATGTCCCTTCTCCACCAGACTTGCTGGCAGGATGCAACTATCCAAGATGCTGGGCTGCATTCCTCTAAACTAGTTATCAGATTGGTATCAGCTGATATGCCTGCTTAATCGGCCATCAGTATTGACCAAGAAAATCTGTATCGGTGCACTCGTAATTAATACCACAAAGTTGCAGATTCCTATTTAAAGCAAATGTGTGCAACAACCCTGACTACAACTGGCGATTAACATATCCATGAGTTTGACATTGCTTTAAAACATTGTATGAATAGCTGAGGGGAAGGATTTTTATTCAGTAGGGCTAGTTTCAAGGAAAAATAAAAGATGCAAGAGAGAGTGATTATATTAAAAAAATAGTACTTTTGGAATTTAGTTTTTGCCGGCACGCAAATAGTATTAAAAATATAATTTGAAGGTCACGTTTAACGTTTGTATTTTACTATCATGCTATTGTATGCTCTGTATAGCATTTCCTTAACTTTGACGAGTAAGCTTGTGAATCCTGGGAAACAGCAGCTGTCTTTAGCTTGCTGTTTGGGCATGATTTTGTATAGTTAACAGTATTACATAACTTGGCATATCTTTGTTTCAAGGTTTTTATTTTGATTATAATGTTATACTTTAAAAGTCAAAGTATGTAATTCATCCATGGGGTAGAACTATATTTAAGATACCAAGATTGTGCTTTGTGATTTCTTAAAAAATAGATGCCTTATTTAGCTTTTCCCTCCCTTTTACTCTTCCTAATAACCCTGGATTCAAAGGAGTACTGTCATTGAAATTTGTATTCAATTTCCCTTCAAACTGAGAGGAAAACACTACGATCAAATTTTTCACCACAATTTTTAAAAGTCTATGTGTACGTTATCTTCTACAATTAAAAAAATAATAATGCCCCAAATGTTGTTTGTGGTGGAGTTCAGTTACAGGACCACAGTTCTGTACTCCAGCTGTACAGACACTATAAATGGATGCCTCGTGATAGACTCAAAGGTGTGCTTTGTAGAGACTCATGTAGATCACATAGTAGAGGACTCGGTTTGTTTGAGTTCGAGGCTTGACAGCTTCTGGGAACTTTGTAAGAGGGGCGCTCAACCTTTTTAGGTTGGTGGGCTGGATGGGCAGTGCCTTATCCCTCCACAGGTCAAATCAGAGTGGGCACCATGGGGCCCTATATGGCCATGTGGGGTGGAGGGGGTGTGGGTCATGCCCCTCCCCCCCACATCCAGGCATGCCAGGGAAAGGGAGCTTGGCCCAGCCCCATCCTGGCCCCGTCTCGGGGAGGAGTCATGACCTGGTCCCATGGGAGGAAGGGGGGCATGGCCCAGCCCCATCATGGCTGGGTAGGGGTAAGGGAAAGTGGTCTTGTCCCACAGTGGGGTGGAGAAAGGGGCATGAGCTGGCCCCAAACCAGCTGTATGTGGGGAGAGGGAGTTTGGACTAGCCTCAACCCAGCCACACAGAGAGAAGGGGGCTAGGCTCCACCCCGATCTGGCTGTATGGGAGTGGGGGGGGCAGTTGTACCCCAGCTCTGACCTGTCCCACAGGGCTTGGGGTTCAGGCATCAGGGAGAGATGCCAGTACTGCCACTGCTCCCCCACCATCAAATTTCCTTACCTTTTGAGGAGCCCTGTGTGCTGGATTCCAAGGCTCCATGGGCTGGAGGTTGAGCACCCCTGCTCTGGGACATGCTTCTAATAGATTGGAGTTGCTACAAAATTGCTTTTAGCGTAAATAAGAAACTTTGAGGGGGAATATTCATAGGTTTATGTCAAGGGTGTCAAACAAATGGCCTAGCCCACAGGCTGGGTCTGGCCCATGGAACTGCTGCATCAGGCCCACAGGTAGTCTGGTGGGCTACTGGAAATGCACTTAACGCTCAGCTCTGCACTGCTGCATGTCCTTGACACTGTTAACAAGTCAGTGCTCTCTGCTGCCACATGCCCCAAGACCCACACTACCAATCAAATGTAGCCCCACAGATCTGGCCTGAAGGAGCCCCTGAGGTCTGGGTCTGGCTCACAGCAAGTTTGACACCCCTGACTTATGGAAAGGACCCAAACAGTTGCAGTATGCTGCAGGGCTTGAGCTGTGTCAGAAATGCATGTGAAAATAAGCGTTCTCCAGAAAAAACAAAATAGAAATTTACTATCGCCAAAGTCATTTGGACATGTACCACTTTGTTTTATGTAGATTGAGTACATATGAGAAGTACAATATTTGCATAGAAGAGAAATTTCAATTTAGTTTGTTTTTCTCATATTAAAAGCAATATGGTGAGATTGAAGATTGCCAGATCGATGACTCTTCTCTTCATGCAGTGATTACTTTCAAGACAAGAGCCGAAGCTGAAGCTGTAAGTATATTCTTTCAGTTTAAAGTGCTTTTAAAAAGTTCTCATTAAACTTGCTTAAATTTATCTCAGCTTAATAATTAAATATGTTTTCAAAATAGTTTAATATCATGTTTACTCATTTTACTTGTTTAGTATTTTGGATTTACTTGTTTAGTATTTAGTATTATTTGATACACAAGTTTGATTCTAGATTAAGACTAGATACTCAAGTCCATCTTAAAAAAAAAAAAAAATCACCAAATGTCTGAAGCTGCTATTTTTCCTGAAAGCCATAGCGAAAAGGAAACTTGAACTGCTTAGAAATATAAAGCAGAGATGGCCTGGAGAGCCCTGTAGAAATATGACAGAACCTTACTTGTTAATTTCTCCTTACCTAGATTCCCCATAGTCTTAATGTTTTTACTGCTGTTGTTTTGTATTTTTGAAATTAATTTATCATGAAACAGCTTATTCAACAATTTTGTTTTATGTACTGTGTTTACTCAAATTCAAGATGACCCTGATTATAAGATGAGCCCCCAATAATTAGATTCTATATATGGAAAAGTTATAAATGTGATACAGTTTTCCAGGTATAGAATCTAATTATTGGAGGTTTGCCTTGAATATGTCCCCTTGCCATTGCTACAGTAGGAAA